CCAACACCAAACAAGAGCTAACCTTAGTTGAACGTCCAACCTTTCCATATCGCATAATGACGATTTTACCACTGCAGTTAACTCCAAGTTCTTTGAGTTTCTCAAAGTCTTCGTCTCGCCCATAATTAGCATACACGAGTTTCCCCTGGAGATTCAGAGCAAAGGAAGTGCGGTGATGAATATCGTCATGATAAATATAACCTAAATTAAGCCTGTGTGGTGGTCAATCAATCGTATTTCAAATTAACTTTTCAATTTAGTGGATACTAGCGTTAGCCTGTGACATCTATGAATACTCAATCCGCCAAGGAAACTCTGAGGTGCTGCTTTTTCAGAAACTAGGGAAGCTGGTTTTCGCACTAAAATGCATCTATCTGAATGCACCCACTGGATATAATGGTTAGGAAAAGCCCTTTTACATAATCATATGTTTTATCATTGATACTTTGAAAAGCTTCGTTAAAAATGCCATACCAGTTGTTGGGTAATTTTTATCTGTCATAACATTAAAACCAAAGTCATCACAACGACTAATCTCAGCAAAAACGAAGAATGTCACGAGAAGGTCATGAGAACGTAACCCTGAAACTCCCAAGTTATGATTGTTATTGTTTTCTCCCCTCTAGCTGCTACACATTTCCTTGCAAGTTAAATAGGAGAATTTAAAGTTCGATCAAGACGCACATCTTTTAACTGAAAGGTTTGAGTATTCTTATCACCTGTATGCTAGAAAATGTATGGATATTACAGAGAGAAGTTTCACTTTGAATCACTTTTGGGATTTTAAAGGTTTAAATACAAATATGCAAACTACCTGAAGCTTGGGAACACGCGAATTATCGGTTGAGAGTGATTGGCTAGCGTCAGTTTTTAGAGCAGTTACAATGCAAAGGAAAAAAAATCAAAGTTTTCTGGATTACTTCCGAAACTCATATGAAAATTACTCCAACACTATTGACGTGGAATTTCGGTTTTCACGCTTAAGCTGAGTAAACCAGTCAAGCATGCATTTAAACTGTGAATCGACACTCACTTTTGCGGATCCTGGTGGTGCATAGGCGTTGAAAGGTGGGACCACTTTGCTGTTGTTCTCTGAGGGAACAAGGAATCTTTCTTGAGGAGCTGACTTGTGGATCAGAGTAGATCCATTGTACAGCGCAGCTGCTCCTGCCTTCATATCCTTTGGCCGAGACAACATAATGGAGTAATTCTTCCATATAACATCGATGCCATATGCCCTCCATTTCTCTGCCATGTCCTTCGCCAGTTCAAAGTTCTCTGGGTCCCCAGGAAAGTGCGGCACTTTGGTAAACTTCCTGCAATTCAAGCAAGTGTTTGGAATTACGTTCATGAGCTTGAATAAATACAAGTGGTATCCATCATATCTTACGCCAGTAAAACATCTTAACTCAGGCTTTAGTGTCGTTTAATAGGATCACTAGGAAATTGACATCGATGTATAATGCTTCATCTGGATCAGCAGATTTTACAATGAAACAATCCAAGAAGACGTGCATTAATACAGACGTTATGCAAAAAGATAGTGGAAGTCCTATCAAAGGATGTTTGGTTAAAAAAAAAAACAAACAAGCAAATAAACAAAACAAAATTTAGGCGTCGGTTTGGTTTAAAATTCTTTTTAACTCGTTTAAGTTCATGTTTGTCTGTGCACAAATTACTTGCTCTAAAAAATATTAAACGGATGGTCGAACGGGTTACAACTGATGTCGCCGTCAAGAACATTCCAGTAAGCGTAGAGTATGTGTGAACGTCAAAACGTTCGTTTTATGGAAAAAAAGGACATAAAATCGAAACTATTTTGCAATTAATAATGTACATGAGAAAATTACTCAGTTCTGATTGGCTAAGATAAATGCAGTTTTCAGGTAATTCAGTGCAGAAGAGAGTTAATTCAGGGCAAAGAAGTAACAAACCAGACATTCTGATTGGTCAATAATCAAAGAAACTCCCAGATAGCCAATCAAGTGCGAGCCTTGGATGTCACAACATTTGGATACGCTGAAAATTTGCGAGCGAAACAATGGCCGGCGTATTAAGTAGGTTTCCTTTGGCCACCGTAACAACAATACAGCGGCTGAAAAACAGCTCTAACAACGAAAACACTGTAAAAAGCACTGCTTTTTGGGTTGTCGATTTGGAAAAAGTGGTGTTCAGAGAAAGGAATTGCGAAAGGAAAGGAAAATTGAGAAAGGAAATCGAAAATTTCGAGCCGACCCAGCTTAACACTTTACTCGAGCGATTCTACGCCGAAATTAAAAATACGGTTTAACCTCGAAACGACGACTCCATTTCATCGAAAGTGATTCGGACACAGACTGAACAATTCCTTGAACTGTTTACCCGGACTTTGAACTTTTTTGCGCCTTAAAGATGTGAAAATTTCATTATATATTATTGTTTTGATCGTATGCGGTTGTTTTGACCGAACACACAAAGTTACTTGCAGAGTTGAATAAATTATTCTTGCACTTGATTCGCGCGCTTTGCATCTGCATCAATTACGATAAGCTATCTCGTATTTTTTCGTGTACATTATTAGCACGTAATCACATGATTTTTCTCGTGCAATTTGGAATAAATAGGAGTTTTAATAACCTGGGAGGAGAAGGCGAAAAAATTGAAAATTCAGGGTCTTCAAATGTCAGAATAATAATAAGAACAAACAAGTAACGAAAAAATTAAGCCGCTTACGTTTACCTTTCTTTCTGGAGTCAAAACATTTTGAGATTTCAGGGTTGAAACAACCGATTGTTGAGACGGAGTTATAAAACCATCTCTTCAACTAGATTTTCATGCTCAGTCCTTTGTCCAAAGTTAATGACAAGTGCTTGGTGGTCTTAATATGAACTAATATGGCTAGCGCTCTTAATGAAAACACCCTATGTCTTAGTAATGTCGAGTTATTTGCTCTACAACTTAGCATCATTCTGCAACCGCCTTTCTTCGTTCGCATCTTTATTAAGCGCGTAATACGAAGAAAGGAAATAAAGATATTCAGGGATCAATTAAACAGCGATTAGGAGAGTATCTTTGTTTTTTATTTCTTTCATATCAGGAGAAGAAAAGACAGGTAGGTCATAGGAAACGGAAGAGGGCATGATCACACGCTAGGGATTGGTAACAAATGTACTTCTTTACTGCTAAATAATTAAAACACCTATTAACCGATCCGATAAATACATGAATGCGTCTCTGCTGTGGCACCGATTTGAGTTATGGACTGCCGTGTATAATTGACATACGAGGCAGCAACATCCGCCGACAATAATAACTCCTGGTTGATTGGTTAAACAGAATCCCTTTAAAGGACTAACCTGGCATAATTAGATGATCTAAATGCATCTTATTTCTAGAAATGAACCAGTTTAACATATCTCCAGGTTGTTTACCAAAGGCCGGCTCAACTATCGTATGCAAATATATTGAAAAAAGAAAGGCTTTCTTTGGGTGGCTGCTCGCTGTGTGACTATGCTTATCATGTAGTCATCTACGCTTTATGAGATGTCAACTATTGACAAGGTTCTCAAAAGTTAGCTTGATGAAGTCGCTTTTAAAGCTGGAGGTGCCTGTTAGGTTTTACATGACCTAGGTGAAAATGTTATTTTCATTTGCTAAGAACTTTCTGTCAACAAATAACGTGGGCTTAGGATTAGGAGGGTGTACTTGAACTTCTTGCGGGGGTATTACTGCCGCCTTGGAGAAATACCCTCTTGGTAAGAGAAAGTAGCCTGAATTCTAACCTCTCCTGTCTCGCATAGACAGCCGCGATCGGGTGAATTTTTGCAGGGAGAGACCAAAAATTAATCAGTTGTTGTTAGTTGATTTCACACCGATTTAAGACGTTTTCTGATTCTTCGGCATTTTGGATTGCTAAGTGCTCTATAAATTTGGGTGAATCCGGATCAATATATGATATTTCACGGCAACAGGCGTAGTATGATCACAGATTCACTTTGCATCCAGAGCAGACATGTCTGCGTCTGAAATTGTGCACCCTGTTTAAAGGAGATGGGGTGAATATCAAACCCATATCCTGTTACTAACCGTGTGTTCGCGTAGGACCTCCGGAGCAAAGAAAAATTTTAAGATTCACGGTATCCTGTACCATTTACCCCCAAAATAAAAGTTTTGCAATCGTAGAACCGAATTCGGTATCAATTACAAGTTCTAACTTTCACCGCCACTTTCACCGCCACTTTCACCGCCACTGCTGCACTCTGCAAAAACGTCGTATGAATTTACTCGTTGACCCTGACTTGGCATTCAGGTTTTGTACACAGCTACTGCATGTAGTTTCTTACTACTTACTTCAAGTTTTTTCTCAGCTCCACGGTAGAAATCATGTCGACCGCTCTCTTGTGGAACACTTCTAGCTGCTCCTGGGTATCGCCCTTTGGCTTAGAGCGGTCGTTCTTGTCGCCATCATCACAACCTTTGGCAGCTCCACGTCCAATAAAGTAACCAGCTAGTATACCGATCCCAAAGAAAACAAGAAGGCTGAGCACAATCAGCGCAATAGCACACTTGCGTCGTTTTGGTGAATTGTAAAGCAACGAATACGATCTTTTCTCCTCCATGGAAATCTCGATGCGTGCTGAAACTGTTACCTTAACCTTAGTAATAATTAACATAAACAAGAGTAATTGCGGTTTAGATTTCAGACAGTTGCATGACACATGATGTAAATACCATCAAATTGACTTTCACGTCATTTAGCACTCAAGTCATTCTCATCACAGACGAAGTGGATGCCGGATAATTATTAAGGTTATTTTATTCATAGACCATATCAGTTATCAGCTATCGTTATTGATTTTAGTCTCCCTAGCTAATATACATGCAGGTGCCCCTTTTTCCCACGTAACGCATGACTTATCTTGAAAATGTACATAAGCAGGTAACGCTGAGTGTTGTAGTTTCCTGCATGCAGGTGAGAGTAAAAAGAGAACCATGCGCGAGATGGCAGGCGTTCATCGCGCTCACCTACAAATCACACGCTTCCATTAAGGAAGCCTGTCCTATATACAGCCCTTCACCAAGAACAAATAAAATATGGAAAATACACAAATGTAAAAGACCATAACCTCTGTCATCGTACCTCATACTGGCGCGGAATACTATCTATTATTGAACACTTTTTTTCATTTATTCTAAAGCAAAACAAAAAAACAAAGAAAAGCAATGGGGGTTTGAGGTGGGACAGACAAAGCTTAGTCAAACTAAATAAACCACACACAATTCATTTTGAGGTTAATTGATCACTGATAATTTAGGCGAGATACTTCAACCGTAAAGAAGAAAGATTTCAAGCCCTTTATTCCGGTTTGAGCCCACTATCTTGATGCATGATGTCAGGGGGAAATCGAACGTAACGGATGCTTAACTGTCATAATTGAAACTTTCAATGGACTGCGTCCCGATCTTGCCTTCTCAAATCTCCGAGAGACGTGATTTTTTTTTTTGGCGCTTAATAAATAAAAAAAGCTATAAACAGCGGACTCCATAACACGGGTGAGGCACTTCTCCAAACAGCCAGTTAGGCACGTTAGAGAAGAGGTTTGCGGTACATTGGATCAAGGTATGCGACTTTTAAGCATCCAGTTAGGGGGCATATATAAACTTGTATTAGCTGAAACCCCTCTTAACATAAACTGGACTTAAAGGTTAAATTTACCTCCCCCTTCCCAGTCCTTTTCCATTCAAAAGCCCCCCGACACATTTTATTGCCACATTTCTCAAGCGATAAAATCACCCTACTCTTTTCATTGAGCGTAAGTTTCATCACTGGCATGCAAAAGGATCAAAATTATTTGCAGATTCAAAAACGTACAGAACGTTGATTAAATATGGGTTATCCGAAGTCTCTTACTACCTGTGGAGCTGGAAGTTTTTGGAATTGTTAGGAGCCTCTGAAAGCCATGCTTTTCGACAAGGCTGCGTCATCGCCGTCTGATTCTTTATTTTGTATAATCCAAATCCTTGCTACCTCACGTTTGACGGCTGATTATAACCAGTTGACACTTGACATTTATTAGATGTGTGGAAGGGTTTGAAGATCAGTTGGGGCCAACAAGAAGTCCTGGGTACCATAGGACGGTGATGACAGGTGTCAGCGTTCTTCCACATGAGGGATCTTTTCATTTTCCTGCCATCCGAGTTTCGTGATTCTTTCCTCTGAGTAACTTTTCTTTAAGTTTCAAAGTATGGCACGACAAATACCTCTAACATGTAGCGGACATACAAGACCGGTGGTTCATCTATCTTTCTCAGATATAACTCCTTATGGGTACTTTCTTATAAGCGCGTGTAAAGGTAAGTTACTTTTTACGTATATTTAGAGCAAATAATTATCTCTTCTCTGTCTTTTTCGGTTGTCTACATATCCTGCCTGAGAAGGACAAATAAACTGCAGTTATTGTACGTGCTTTACGGGTTATTAAATTTGGTAGGGAAATATAGACCTATTCCTAGGACGTGACGTGGTGAGGGAGCTTTTGGATTTTATGGGGGGAAGCCGAATTTACGCGCGCTGTGACGAACTGTGCCGGCAAATTGCTGTCATAAATTTTAACTGGAAAAAAGGTCGCTTCGTTTGGCATCCAGCTCTCTGCATTTTACCCTTCTTACGTCGGACTCAATTTTTACACCCACGTCACAAACAACAGTCAATCAGCATTTACCGTATCCTCATTATCGTTATTGATCAAAGGGAAAGACCTTTTGATCTCAAAATCGTCGTCGAATATTGTTAAGTTAATTCCCGTAAAGATTAAACTCGATCGAATTCAGACCCCCCTAGAGAAACCATATATGCAGACAAGTAAGAGCTATGTCAAACATTATTTAAATTTGAAAAAAAAAATGTTTACATAACGTTTTTTCATTATCTAAGTTGATGGCCCACACCCCAAGTGTTACTTAATGATATCATTCACTTTCAAACTGACCTTCTCATAACCCTTTTACTCCCAATAATGACCAACATGTCACTTCTCCTTAAAATATCCATACAGTATCCAACAAACAGGTAGTAAGAAAACACAAACTAATCAGATGGAAGTTGTTACCTCAAACAATCAAATCTTGGGAGTTTAAGGGTTAACCCTTTCACCCCTAAGAGTGATAGCACCTAATTGGTCTATACAGTGTCTCTGCTGAATCAACTCTTAAATCATGAAAATGAAAGAAATTATCACCACCCCAAGAGGCTCTTATTGTTAGACAGATTCTCCTTGTCAGTACCTTGAGAAGTGTACGAAGAACAGTATGGAGATTACACAAACTGATGTCAGGCACTAAAAGGTTAAATAGATCAATGGCATTCCTTTCAACTATATATTTGAAAGCCATAGAGGACGCCAAAAAATTGAATATATAGGAATTTCTTGTTGAGCACACTAAGGAAGACCAAGGAGACAAAGACTCTGGAAGACAAGCATCTCTATTATTTTAGGGTAGAATCACTCTCCCTCTCCCCCTTTACCCTATGGGGAAAAGATGCTTCAGAAGAAAAGTCATGGACCCATTAAAATTAATGTGTGTTTTTTGTTGGATTATCTGTAAATCAATTTTCATTTGTTTTTCAAGAACTAAATTTTTGTACTATAGTTTTTGGTTACCACAATTAGTTTAACATTTTACAACTTATCAATGCCACCAAAGGGATGAAAAAATTCCAAAAGCTGAGGTGTTCCAGACTGTTGCACTCTCTTTTTTCTAATGAAAAGGAGAATTTGTTCCAATCACTTAGTGCTTTCTACTCTTAATTTTAGTGTTATGCCACTTTATTTTTCTTATCTGATGTTCTATTTTATTGTTCATTAATTGTGCATAGTACCCTTGTGAAGAAGACACTGAATATGATGTATAATCTTGTACTGTTTTGTATGTTTATTGTTGCCACAGATGGAAAGCCTATGTTACGACATGGTGACACAGGAGACTGGATTGGTACTTTTGAAGGTCATAAAGGAGCAGTATGGAGTGCTACCTTAAATAAAGATGTCACCAAGGCAGCTACTGGGGCTGCTGACTTCACAGCGTAAGTATATGCATATATAGGGTAGTGGTGTACCATCACTTTGCCTTTTACCAACCTTCAAGGTTTTTTATGAGATTTGTATTAGTGGTCACAGCTAAGGTTTCTGATAGAGCCAGCCATCTACAAAAAAATTTGTTAAAATCATTGATAGAGTTATTTGTAAATGCTGATTATCACTTGTGATTGATTCTAAACCATGTGGCATTTTTTTTGCTGGAAAAAAGGGGTTTTTGCTCCTGTTTTCTTTTCCCAGCTTTCTTTTGTTCACAAGTCAGCAAATCTGAATTGGTTAGCAAAGAATGATGACTGTAATATTGTTAAGGAATTTTAACATTTGCAAACTAGGTTTTGACAAAGAACAATCAATGTATGGGTAGGGGAGATTGCGAGGAAGAGGGTCAGAAGCCACAATGTGTTGAGGGCAGAAAGCAGGACAGATATTCCAGATGGGAATAGTCTTAAATAATTGATCTGCAACAAGTTGCAAGAAAGGGTTTGAGATGGGATTGAAAGGTGGAGCAGGTGGGAATGTAAAATTCATGTGAATTTGGCAACTCTCATGCTTATGTTATCTGTTACTTGGTTTACTGTCAAATACACCCAGTAAATAGCTACAGAAATGCTGCTCACAATGTATAGGAAATGGTTTTGATAGAAAAGTATCAGCAGAGTTAAAGAATTATCTCACTCACTATTTAGGGATCTGTATTCTTCAAATTAAAGCATAATTATGTTCACAGTCGTTAATTTAGCAGATTAATTTGAAAGATGAGATTCCATTTTGTAATAAAGTAAACTGTTGATTGGATTTACTAACTGGAAAATAGCTGAATTTATCCCTACTGTAAATGTCTAGGTATTATCTGCATTTGTATAAAAACAGGAAAAAAAGTAGAGTTGACTAAAAATAAGTAAATTTTATATATATATTTTTTTCTCAACAGTAAAGTATGGGATGCTGTAAGTGGAGAGGAAGTTAGAAGTCTACCTCATAAACATATTGTAAAGGTTGTGGATTTTTCTCCAGTAAGTATCAAGAAGCTCCATGAAACTGAAAATTTTTTATGGACCCTTCTACCATTCATATAATATTAGCTGGGAGAATTTGGTATTGGATCAATTTATTTAGTAATCCCCTAACTGATATTTTTCTACTTTCTCAGCACTTGTTTGCCTGTTGTTCAATTGATATTTATATTGTTAGGAGAAATTCTGTTTTGGTCACTCACGGAAGTTGAAGGGTTAAATAACAGTTAAATCTGGATATTTTAAAGGGACATAGATAATTATTATTTGAAGACTTTGTGTATTCCCTCATAACTTTGGATGCATTTACTGATAACTGTAATTCTGGGAACATTATATTTTAATTTAAAAGTAAACATGTTTTTTTCAGTATCTTGCCATGCCCTGACAGCACACTTCAGTTCTCTCATTTTCTACTTAACCCTTTAACTCCTGTTAGTGACCAAGACAGAATTTCTCCTTAAAATAATAATACAATATCGACCAGATAGGTGATGAGATTTAAAGAAAAATATAAATTTGGAGATAACTATTTGATCCAATACTAAATTCTCTGAACTAACTTCATAAGAGTTGTATGATTGACAGTAAGGAGAATAACAAATTTGAACTGGGAGTTAAAGGGTTAAGATGATTACGAGATATACTTACAAATTTTGGTGATTGGAATGCAAGACCTTTTGCCCAGTGCAAACTTAACTATCATAATAATCATTATTAACTAACTATGATTATAACGTAGCATGCAATCTGTGCCATTCAGAAAAGAATTAAAAACTAAAAGCAGCACACTGTCTAATTCTGTGGAGATGTTTATATTGAGACCAGATCATTTTTTTACAGCTAAGTGCAATTTCTTTTTTCTCATAAGGATGGTGATAGACTCCTTACAGCCAGTAATGAAATGCTTATGAGAGTATTTGATCTTCAAGATGAAAGTGCTGGTAAATAGTTTTTCAATTTATTTACTTTCAATCATCTTTGTTGGAGAAATGCAAAGTCTTTTTGAGGGTACCAGTGACCGACAGAAGTTTTCTACATCATGTAAAGACCTTTGCTCAGGCTTATAACTTAAGCTATTACTTTCTGTTATGGATAAATAAATGTAATATTTTGTTTAGAACCAGACTTATTACAAGGTTATAAAGAAAATATAAGGGCCGCACTGTGGAGTGAAGATGGCAAGTATATTATGAGTGGAGGAGAAGACAAAGCAATAAGGTATACTCATACAACTCTATCACAACTAAATTTTCTCACTTGTAATAATCCAGTGGTAAATACAGATGTGACTTGCATTGTGCTTTTGTGCTGCCTAGGAGCTAGTATGAACTGCTCAAATCTCCATCTCTTCCTTAATGAAATTCAACCCATTTCTATGTCCATGTGAGGTTTTGTATTATATTATTGGTTGGAGTCCAATGGTTTTTGGCTTGATCATTATAATAACTGTTTCATCACCAGGGATGATTTTTAGAAGTACCCAGGGCCTCAAGTATGGTGAAAGGCAGCAAAAATAAGCTTTAAAATTATGTTAAGCTCTCCTTGAAGTTTTTTTAGTAAAACCAGGGAAATGTAATATTTACTCCTGACCAGTAACTTGTGATTGTAGGCTTTGGGATACAAGAAATATGACTGAGGTAAAGAAAGTAGATATACCACAGAGTGTAACAAGCATGGTTCTGTCCAAGGATGGCAGTGTACTTGTTGTCACATATGATAGAACCATCTCTTTTTGGAATCCAGAAAGGTGAGTAATCAAAAATGGAGAATGGCTTTTACCACTTAAAGAGTTCTTTTTTATTAAGTAGGGGCAAGAAAGATTAAAAAACCTTCCACTTCTGGGGTAGTTAAATTTCAACTGTTCAGCCACTTTCCCCCACCCTTTCTGTAAATGCTCTAATGGCCAATTCATTGTTCTTTTCTACAAATGTCTTGGACGGTGGGACACTATTAGTAAATAAAAATGTAATGATATTCTGCAGATAAGTTATATTTTTCAGAGGCGGGAGTGGCAGAGTTTAAGCCCCCCATTTGGTTACAGTTGAACCTGTACTTAGTGGTCATCCACAGGGAATGGCAGGATGGCCGCCTAATGCAGGTTACACAGAATAGGGGTGTTCTAAGAAACAATAAAAATATGCCGTTTTATGTGTTAATCGACCACTTCAATGTAAAAAACTTGCCTGAAATGCTTCTAGCATTGATTTTGGGAGATAAATATTGATTAAATCTTACTTGAAAGTTACTCTTACTTTTATTTGTCAATAAATGGTTCTGCTTTAAGTGACCATTCAGTACACATGGAAAACAATAGAAAAAGGCTGTTGGGATTCACTTCAGGGTGACCATTACCACTTATAAAAGGGGATCACTTAATAGAGGGGACCACCCAATAGAGTTGAAAACTACAGTGTTGAGGAAAAAAATTGGGAATTTTGACAACCGACCACTTAATACAGGATGACTGTCTTTTGTTTAGAATGGAAGTGATCAAGTCCTTTGTTGCTCCGACACCAATATTTTCAGCTTCACTCCACCCTAGCAAGTCTTGTTTTGTAGCTGGAGGAGATGACTTTAAGCTCTATAAGTTTGATTATGAGGATGGAAAGGAAATAGGTGAGAACACAGAGTTATTTAAATCTTAATTGACAAGAAACCATTTCACAAATTTTGTTACCATTTTTCAGCTAGAAAACTTTGTCACAATTATTATCCTATGATAATTTCAATTACATTATGGTCTATATCCTGGGCTTGATTTTGCTTGTGATCTTTGCAGTTAATTTTTTTTCTTGAGCTCCTTGTCTGAAAACCTATAAATTTGTATAATAGAACAAATTTATGCTTTGATCAATTTTTTTGTTGTCTCAGGTATAATATCCCCTAACAGCATTCATGCCTTATGTATTTAAGGTGTTTGTCTTAACCCTTGACACCCCAACATCAGTAAGCATATTCTTCACACTGTTCTTTATACATTTCCTAAGGTGCTGACAAGGAGAATTTGTTTGCTAATCAAAAGGTTCCTTCCCTAGTGACCATTTCCTTTATTCTCATGACCTTAATGTGTGATTTAGGGCTGATATTGTAGGGAGAAATTAGATGCTAGTTACTTTTAGGGGTTAAAGGGTTAAGAAATCACTTTTAATTAGTCTACTTCTGCCAACAATATTATTCTAGAATCATTTAAAGGGCACTTTGGTCCTGTGCACTGTGTGAGATATTCCCCTGATGGTGAGCTGTATGCATCTGGGTCTGAAGATGGAACACTGCGACTTTGGCAGCACACTGTGGGCAAGACCTATGGGTTGTGGCGAGCTGTTAACAATCATGGTGTCTCTACTGAAACCTGATAAAAATAAGCCAGTCATTGTATTAAGTTAAAGGTAATAGGATCTTTTGGCTTCATGTCTGATGAAATCTACTTCCAAGCAATTTTGCTTTAAACTTATTATTTGTTTGGAAGATACATATTATGATTATTTGCATGGTTTTAACAAACTAGTTGATTTTAGAATAAGCATAGAAAGGTAAAGCACAAAGAATTGACAGAAATTGCCAGTTACTGATATCATCACTACTCCTTCTCAGGGTCTGTTCAGAGGTGTAAAATCAGCTGCAAGAAATAAGGAAAATGTTGGTTCCAGCTTTCTGAAACATGCGATTCTTTTTTCTATCTCACTGTATATATTGTTATTAAAAAAAAACCACTATCACTGGAAGTGTAATTATAACATTGTATAATATTATGTACTTTGTTAGATATAAGTGTATGAGCCCTTCTGAAAAATTCCATTATATTTATAGCCAAACTCATTTATCAATTGTCAAATATCAAAGACTATCAATAGCTTTCTGCACTTCAATTTTAGTTCCAAAAAGTATAGTGTCTTGGGCTGGTTTTAATTTCTAATGCAAGTGTGAGGATGCAATGCAGCATACCAAAATTCATCACTAGGGTGCTGTTTTTGTAAGAGAAGAACAAATGCCCACTAAATATCAATTATCAAGCACAAGTTCCTCTTCTCCTTTTTTTAAAGTTATCTCTGCAGTTGAGATGAGACAGGCAATTTGAACAGAAGAATCTTATCAGTAATGGTATTTTCAGAATTGTCTCTTGCATGTTTCCTCAAACCATTGTTGGGTGTTCTAAACATTTATATTTAATTTTTGTTGTTGGGAAAATCTTGTGTTTAATATTAACTCTTATTTGAATATTAGATACTTGGAACCAACTAGTGTTTTTTTGGAGGTATGGTGTTGATGAGAGACTTAGAGAATTTATTTACATGACCAGTCCTGGTTCTCCTTCCCTTTTAGCGCTGTGTTGGTTTCATACTGCATTTTGTACATTGTAATTCAAAACAGATCTTTTTTGTCACAACCACTAATTATTTCATGTTTAACATGGTTCCCTAGATGTATTTCTGTGATATTTTCCACAATGAAGTGATAGTATGATCCTAAAGATGTCGTGTGCAATGACAACCACTTGGGGGGAAAAACTGTGAAGCATAGTAACAGCAGCTGTTGTCATAGAGTTTTAGTAAATTAGCGCACTGTTAAAAGTAAATTTAAATTGCAAAGCATTCCTTGCTGAGCACTTTTTTTGACCAAGATCTCTTGCTTGAAAAATTAGCTTTTAAAAACTCTTGTTTAAAATAATTGTTATGTTTATATATGATAAGATAAAGTAATGAAATGAAACAATAGTTTACTTGAAGTCTTGCTTGTATATTTATTTGTTTATTCAAACTCCTTTCACAGGTAAAAGTTTAAATGGGAAGAGTAGAATTAATTATGTACAAGAGTCCCTTATAATCCCAGTGGTACACATCCAACATAATATAAAACTTTATGTGGAGAGCCTGTGATCGAATACTGTAATATGTTGATTTTGGACTCTTCCCCTTCTAATCAATATCTACTAAATAAAAAAAAAGTATGGGGGCATGTGTCATTATTTGAAACATTTTCATGTATTCTTGACCCTAGTTATCAGAATCCTCACTATTACTACTGTAGTTCCCTAACAATCCAAGTGATGATTCATTTGTTCCAGCTCTATTAACATCTTCTCTCTCAACAGTGTCTTTGTGAGAATTTTGTATCACATCCCTCTTTTCAGAGGAGGTAGTTCCTGGCTTTACCACTGCTTTTCCTGCAGCTTTTAGTTCTTTAGCTTTGTCCTTGTTGACTTTTACTAATGATGACAGTAGTGATTTGTTCTGCATTTTCCCAATGCTAACATTACTTGAGGTCTTTTGTTTTTTCTGAGCTGGTTGAGATGTGTGGGAGACATCCTGAAGACAAATTGAAATTTTAAAAAAAAATTCAATCAGAAAATTAAAGTCAGGAAAGAACACAATGACTTTTGACTTTTACATCATGCTCAGTTTCTAGTTCCATAATTTAACAAAATAATTACAATCAGGTGGGAGATGTGTTTTCAAGTTAAAAAAAAAAAAGGTGTGCTGTCTTGGCATTTTCACCTAGTTATAACAAGTAGAATACCCAGTGTTCCAAACTTTTTAAAGCCAATCAAATTGTTCCATTTGCTCTGAAAAAAGGCCAATGAACGAAACATCAGCTTTGAAACTCTTGATGGTGGCCAATTTACAGGTACATTATCAGCTCAGTTGATAAAACAAGAAGTATCTTATTCCACTGATTACTTGACACATGTTCATTGGTATCCTAGAACTCCAAGTTCTCATTGCAAATTACTGTATAATTTATCTTTTCACAAACATGAACTTTTAGTACAGTACTAAAGTGTGCATCATTGAAAATTGCATTTTACATTCCCTAATTGCTCAATGTTGCATGCCTCTTTAAGGGAGAATGTGCAGTTTCAAAAGAAATGGTTCTGTAATGTAATTGGCTCTGTACCTCAGAGTTCACATGTTACTGAAAGATGCAGTGAGAGAGCACTTACCTCTGCCAAAATGTCTGTGGCTTTTCTTTTCTCAGTTCTTCCTGTTGACTTCTGTTCTCCTTCCTCTTCATCATCATCGCTTTCATCATCCAATCTTCTCTGGATCTTCTGGTTACCAAATATGGATCTAAAATTTTTTTTTTCAAGCATTTAAGTTAGTGTATTTAGATCAAACTATAGACCAGCTCCTGCATTGTACCATTCTACTGGGATAAGGAGGTGGAATTTATTGTATATGAGGTCAATTCAAAGCTTTTATTCCCTTAAAATCTTTCACTTCTTCCAGTTTTTGTTACACTCAGAGAAAAGTGAAGTTACCAGTATTTATTAACCGGCATTATTTAACAGTCAAGAACTAATGATGGACCCTGGGGTACTTGTTCTAAGAGTCAAAATGTAAGTTGCTCTGTGTTGGTAATAGTGGCCAGAAACTTAAGTACAGCAACAGGAACTGCACCTTCAAGTTGACTAAAATTTCATCCTTGAATACAACTGATTTTTGTTAAAGCAGTGGGAACAAGCTGTGGTTGGAATCCTCGCAAGGTAGTCATTATTGTCCACCTTCCATCCTTGTGACAAATTTTAGTCAATCAATCTTTTGTGCTTTGACATTAAATGTTAATTTAAATCAACCCAAGCTGTGCTTACTGGACTAACTGCTCATCCTCCTCCTCTTCTTTGGCTCGCATCTCTTCTGCTGCCTTTGCATTCAGCTCCAACAAGGTATCGTAATCAACTACAAAACAAGAAGAAAGTTCTTTGTCAGGCTGCCATTGTTCAAAGGGTGGATAATGGAATCCACTAAACCAATCTCTATCCATTGGATAGTGCAGTGTCATATGTTAACTGTCATATATCTGCTGGATACCAGTAGTGATTCAACCTTGGCATAGCATGGCCCGCTCTGTCAACAGGATTCGTATCCTTTTTCAGAGACAAATTTCAAGGACTTTTCAAAGGCTTTTTCAGGACTCTGATTTATTTTTCCATGACTCAAAATTTCACCTTGAACCCTTCATACCAAGATTTTAAAATCAATTCTCCTTATGACCTACACTGCAATTCATATAACATAAATTTTGAAAACTTTATTTCTTGAGTTAAGCAGATTTCAAGGACTTTCCAGGATCTGTACTCTTTTTCCATTCCAGTCCTGGAAAATGTCAAAATAAAATTCCAGGACATTCCGGGTTTTCCAGGACCAGTGCAAACCCTGTTTGAACAACTGGCCCAGATAACTACAACTTGGAGAGAAACCTGACAGTCTAAATCAGAATTACATGTCTTGGTTTAGAAAAGCAGAGCAGAAACATCTTATACCCAGACAACTGATTCCAGTATCCTTGTGGTCTGAATGGTCACTTTTGGAAGGGACCAAGTTTATTTCTACAGGTATAGGCATTGTAGACACCCAAGAATGTAATTCTACAAAATTGAGAGGTAACTGTAATTCATTGTGTGGTTTCCTTGCAATTAAACTCAGCACATACCATTAGCAAGCCTTGTGTTCAGATCCCGCAACTCTTCTAACTTTTCTAAAATGTCCATCTCTTGTTTGGACTCTTTTGTTCTCTTCTCCAAGGCCTGAAAGATGTAAAGACATGTACATATAGCACAGATTGAAGATAATTTCTATAATCATGTTTCTTTAGTAACAGAAACCATCAAGCAAATGAGGGCATCCTAAAAAATGTTTTTATCTTACTTCTGGGCTCCATGCATAGGCACTTTTTCCCAAATGGTCACTGAAGGGTGATATCTCAGAATTCAAACAATTTCACACTAAATTCTTGTAAAATTCAAAATAACTCTCTATAACCTTGACCACCTCAGGACCTAAATAATGTTTTCAAGCCCAGTGATGAAGAAACTGGTGTGAAAAAAATGTGAAAATAGCTGTTCAATAAATATATTTCTCCCTTTATTGTTCTCAGACTATTTGGGACCTGTAATCAAATTTCTTGACTTTCCATGTCTGGAAAATCACATTAAATTCCACAGATTTCTTAGTTTTCCCAGACCCACTAAATACTATTTTTGGACAGGATAAAAAACAAAGGGATTGTCACAACAATACTTTTTGTATTAGAAACTTCAGTTTTTGTTGTTTTTGTGACACCTGTAAATAATTTTTTGTTGAGCATTGAAGAAATCCAAGATTACATGACTTTGTCTCAGTATTTCTGTGACTGTGATGAACCATCCTCTGATATGCCAATCAGGCTATAACTCAATCACAACTTGGCTATAAGCACTTTCCCATTCTTTAGCATTTTTCTAAACCTTTTACACCATCAGTTCAATATGCATATTCTCCATACAGCTTCATACACATTTCCTATGGTACCGACAAGGAGAATTTGTTTGACAATCGCAAGCTTTTTTTTAGACTACCATCATTTTCCTTACTCTCATGACCATACTGTTTGATTCAGCAGTGATGCTGTAAGAAGAAATTTGATTCCAGTCACTCTTCAGGATTTAAGTGTCGTGTTTTATTGGAACCTCCTTTATTAAATTCATTTAATCAAAACCTTCATAACAGTCAAACCTTCATTGGATTGTTTTGCTCTTCTTCTTCCTCTTCCTTTTGTTTTCTGTTCTCTTCATCTTCCATTAGCTTCTGAGCTTGGAAGTTCCTTGTTGCTCCATTCTCACAAACATAATCAGTGTTTTCAGGATCTGTCTACACAAATTGGACAAGAACGCAAAAATGTACATCATAATTACACCTAATTATGCAAAAACTTCACCACAAATTGGACAATAAGGTTGGGAATTTGCAAATATAATTGTACCCTGAGGTTGAAATTCAACTAATAAATAATA